AGGAGTCGGATCGCGGCTATCTCCGTTATTACTATTATTACTATTACTATTATTATCTTACCCTTTATTTAGCTAGGTATTAAGATCGTTTTAGCCCTTATTTAGCTATACCTTATTATTAATATTAGCCTACTTATTTTAAGAAGCGGCCTAGGCAATGATCTCTTATTAGCTAGAGCCGCCTTATTAAGATAAAGTAGCTAAGTTATTAGTACTTACCTAAGAGCGCCTAGGTATAGTTTCCTTACTAGTATTAATATCGCTAATAAGGGTAATAGACTTATAAGTTTCCTTACTTATAAAAGTAAGCTTATTAGTAGTTAAGGTATTTAGCGGGGTAATAAAAGTATAACCCTCGCTAATATTAAGTCCTAGACTAAGAGTCTCTTAAAACTAGGATTCCCTTATATATTTCTTAGCTTTCTTTACTAAGGCAGAACTAGTATTACCGCGAGACTTTTAGGCTAATCGCTTATACTTTAAGGGTAAACCTACCGCTACTTACTCCTATATATAGTATAGGAAATTAGTATTATAGTTCTTTATTTTCTTTAATATAAAAGGTATTATTATTAATAAATCGTTAATAAAAAGTAATATAAAAAGGTATAAAGGATTAATAAAAAAAAGTATAAAACTTTATAGTAATTATAAGTAAAAGGGTTAAAGAAGAAAATAAAATAAAAAAAGTAAGAGATATATATATACGCTCTTTATATTATAGTTATATAGCCGATATATAGGTAATACTATAATAGTTACTTAGCGGTAACTATTAGTATAATAACTATTAATATTATAAAGTATAGACTAATATATACTTAAATAAGTATATATATATAATATAAAACCGAAACTACCTCTCTTTTTAACTAAATATATATAGTATAGTAAAAGTAATATATATTATAGATATAGTTAAGACGCTTATATAAGAAGGGGAGATAATTATAAGAGCGCTACTAAGAGGTATAGGCTAATAAAGTACTTAGGTATATAGTACTAATATATAAGTAGGGTATTAATAGAGAATTATATATACCCTACTCGCGAGTTATAAATTACTTGCTACTTTAACTAAAGAGGAAAACTCCTTCTTTTAATAAGCTTTAGTCTTATAATAAAGAGAATATAATATATATAGTATAGTACCTCTAGCTATCTTTACTACCTAACTAATCGTACTATAATACGTATTCCCTTATATAGAGCTAGAGAGGTAGTAGTAGTAGCGGTAGCGGGAGCTATAGCTATAGGGGCTATAGTAGCTATAAGGGTAGTAGGTCGAACAATCTAAGTTAAGTACTAGCTATAAAGGAATATAACTACTTATTATTATACTTTAGTAGCTTTTTTATTTAGTTCTTAGCTAGCTTCTTAAAAGATAGTTAAGTAACCGTTACTAATAGGCTTTATTAGTAGAGATATATCTTATAGCTACTAGCTAGAAAGAGCTTTTATTAGGAAGTATTAGTTAGCTTCCTTAAGGATTTCTTCTTACTTAGCTAGCTATAAAGAAGCTAGTAGGTTCCTAGTAGAAAAGGCTCCTAGGTATATTATATAGGTCTTCTTAATATAGTTAGTTATATAGCCCTTTAAGGGAGCTATTAAGGTCTTAAGCTTTAAAAGCTACTACTTAAGAGTCTCTTCTTTTTAAAAAGAGATTAGCTTTATAGTACTAATAGATTCTATTATCGCCGTACGTATAGTAGTTAGTAGCTTTATCTTATAAAGGTATTCTTTATAATAACTCTTATAGTTACCTAAGGTAGTAGAAAAAGCTCTTTACTATATAGAGGTTAGCTTAAAGAAGAGAGAAGCTCCTTCTATAAATTCCGTTGCCCTAAGATAAAGAGGGGGCTTAAGAGGGTCCTACTTATTAAAAAAGACTTATAAATAGTCCTATCTATATAAGCCTATAGCTCCTTTACCTACTTATCCTAATCTTAGGGCTCTATAAGAATCGTCCTATAGATCGTAGGGGCGGTAGAGGAATCGTTTTTCGATATTATTATAGGGGAAAGGTAGAAAAGTTAGTTAAAAATCGGCTTTTCTAGTAGGAGGGGTAAAAGGAAGCTACGAGGGATATAAGGAAGGTGCCTTTTATAGTAGCTAGAAGGTATATAAATTCTATTCCTCCTAGGCTTATAACTCTCGTAAAGAGAAATATAAGAAGTACTATTATACTACTAAGTACTTTAAAACGGATCTTTTAGCTATCGATATAGATATCTTTAATATAAAAGAACGCTATAAAAGGTTTATTATTATATAAAATAGTTAATATCTCTTAAGCTAGTAGTGCTTTATATTAAGAGAGGCTCCCTTAAAAGCTTACTAAGTATTAGTCCGCTAGCAATAAATATTATATAAAAAGGGATAAAAGGAAGGCCTATAGTTATAGCGATCCTTAGTAACGCGAAAATTCTACTTTTAAGCTTCCTCGTTACCTTCCTCGTTATATAAGGCTATTATAAGAAGGTAAAAGGGATAGTTAAGCTTCTAAGTAAAAGATTTATATAGACTAGTACTTATAAAAGCTCGCTAAGGGCTATAATTATATATAAAGATAACTTAAGTTATAAAGGAGACCTTATTAATATCTAGCTTACTAGTACTTAACCTCTTAATAATAGTAGTACTATTCTTATAAAGGAAGCCTTAAACAAAGTTATATACCTCGTCGTAGGATTTAAAGCCTAGAGAAAGCGGTAGGGGCGGTATTATATCCCTATATTCTTTATAGGTATTATAAGTATTATATATATTACCTTAAAGCAGCGTAGGGGTATTAAGGAGAGCGAGAATAGGATCTATTATAGTGCTAGTAATAGCTTTAAATTTAGTATATATATATAGGTTATATATATATAGGTTATATATATGGGTTATATATATATATAAGCGGGTATAAGCGTATTTAAGTAGTATAGGTACTTACTAAGCACGCGCGGTATAAATAAGTTAGGCGGGCTAGCGTTAGTATATATCTTAAAAATAGGGCGAATATATAAATAGTAATACGTATATATATAGTTAGTAATACTTATTTAAATAGGTTAGTAGCTATAGCCTCTAGCTACTAGACGTTCTTCTTAGCTAAGGTTAACGTTATAAAGATACTAAAGTTCTTTATATAAGATAGCTAGTACCCCTTAGCTACTAATATCCCCTTTATATAATAAATACTTATTAATAGGCTAGCTTATATAGCTAAGAATAAATAAACGCCTTAAGTAGAGCGGAACTTACTTATTACTACTACTATTATAGTTAAAAAAGAAAAAAAAGAAAGGGAAAGAGGATAAAAGGGAGGCCGCCTTATATACCCTTAATAAGGGAAGGCTATCTAAGGCTAAAGGGACGGCTAACCTAAGGCTTACAACCTATCTAAGCTAGCCGGCGTATTATATACTAGTCCCTTAGTACGAGGCCGGTACTTTAATCTAGCCGTCTACCTAGATCCGGTATAGGTCTAACGGGTAACTAAATAGACTAGCTACTATATATAATTAGACGTATTATATAAACTAGCTACCGTATATTATTACGCGCGTTAAATATAGACTAGCTACCGGTCTTATAAGTTAAAGTAAGAGTAGTAATAACTATCTATATTCTTCTCTACCCGCCTAAGATCTAGCGGGTTCTCTATCTTCTATATATACTATAGCGAGCGTAAGACCTTACTTAGGGCTTTAACCGAGTAATATCTTAACCTTATAATTATACGATAGTAGTATAGCGTATTAATAGTATTTCCTAGTATTTTCCCTAGGTAGGCATAGGTATTTCTCTATAATTTCCCTGCTATATTCTTATAGTAACTTCTTAGGGAAATATCGGTATAATCCTAAAAGAGCTATTATTACTCGGGAAATCGTAGTATATTCCCCGTATAATATATCCCTAGGGGAAATCTCCGTGAAATATCTATATAATCCGCTCGGTTATCGTTTCTAGGATTTCCGGGTGATTTCCTAGAGTTTGCCCGGTAGCTTCCGGGTTCCTTCTTCCGCGGGGAGCCTTAGGGAGTTAGGGGTGACTTCCCTAGGTAAAGTAGATGTCGTTATAGGTACCTAGATTATCGACCCTAGGGTGTCCCGTAACACGGCGGCTACCTAAGGGTGCCTATAATAAAAGCACTATTATTTATACGGCCGGCCGGCCGATAGGTATAGAGCCGGGTACCGGCCGCTTAGATTAATAAGCGCGGGGATAATAATACTAGTAGGACTAGCGCGATTAATAGGGAAGGATAGTAGGTAGTCGGTAGTACTAACGGCCTAAGGTATAATAATATAAAGGCTATTAAAAAGGTAGCGCCGCGCCGCGCTAAAGGAAGGGTATTATATAAAAGTCTTTAACTATTATAAGTTATAGGCTTAGGCTATAGCCTAAGCTAAGTAGTTATATATAGAGGGCTAGATCTTATATTTATATAAGTAGGTTAGCCGTATATAAAAGAGCTTTATATAACTTATTAATATTATCCTATAAACGGTACCTATATATACGCCTCTACCTACTTTATAATAAAAGTAACTACTAACGCTTAACTAATATACTTAGCTATTAATAAAGCTTACTTTAAATAGCTTTAGTAATAAGCGCCCTTAAAGGCTATATATAAACTTTAAAGAAATAGCTATACTATTAGTACTTTATAAGGTATTTTATAAAAAGATATGTCTTTTTTTTAAATATATTTTAAAAAATTAACTTATAAGTAAAGAGCTTATAAAATAAAAGATAGATATAAAAACTAAGACTTAAAGGAATTAAATTAATACCTTTACTCTAACCCCCTAAGTGCACTGTCTACCCCCTTTCTTTAAAAGTAGGGCGGCGATTTATATAGCACTCTTCTATAAAATCGAGTAGATTTCTCGTCGCAGTAATGATAGGCGATGACTAACCTAATCTCTTCAACCCTCACCCCCCTTTCTCGACATTCAGACCTCGGCCTCGTCTCGCGACGAACGCAACCGCCCGCAGCTATGCCCCGGAGCATCTTGCTACGCCACGTCCAGCGCTCGCTGGCCTCGGCGGCCGAGCAGGAAACCGACTTCCTGCTCGCCGTCAAGCACCAACATGCGGCCGAGGCCTTGCGGCGGCAGCTGTGGCTCCAGCGGCCGTCGATCGAGGCCGTCGTGCGGCACCATCTCGGCCTGGCCAGCGACGACGGGTGCACTCTTCTGCCCCAGGATTCGTGGTTACAGGGCGGCTTTAACCTTTGCCTCCTCGTCGCAGTGTCCGAGGGCGCCTGCCAAAGGGTCGTTGTCTTCCGCTGTCCCATGGCTCACAAGCTTGCCGAAGACGTGTATGCCGGCACCATTGACGAAAAGCTGCGCTCCGAAGTCGCCACGTACGTGTGGATGCAAGAGCACTGCGCCAACATTCGAATCCCCGCTCTTTACGCCTTTGGCCTCAAAGACGGCAGCCACGTTGGTCTCCCCGCTGCCCTGCTCGCCCGGCGCTGGCCCTGACAGTAGCAATGTTATGTAGTTTGTCCACGTCGGGCAGCGGCCCTTGTACGCCAGAATCTGCCGTTCCTTCTGGCGATGGATATATCGTGTCCTCAACAATCCCTTGCTCTCAAACTATTCTCGCGACGCATCCGTGCCGGCCGTCGACACCCCCTACATGCTCCTGGAATACATCGGGGCCGACACTGGGCAGGAGCTTTCGCTCACGTGGGCACAACATTTACATGACGCCGATCGACGAAATCGACTGTTTCGCGGCATTTCGCGCATTATGCTCTCGCTGGCTCGGCTCCCCCAGCCACGCATTGGCTCGTTCCTTTTCAACACGAGCGACGGCACAATCTCGCTTTCCAACCGGCCTATAATATGTACTATGATGATTTTCGAGAACGGCGGGACGCCACGCGCAATGGAGCCTGGCCAGACGTACCAGAGCACCGACAGTTTTGTCACGGACTTACTTACGCTCCATGATAACCACTTCCTTCACGACCGTCACGCCGCGCGAGACGCTGATGATGCTCGAGAACGAATGGCGCTTAGGACTTTGCTCAGAGCCGTTTCGCACCACTTCATATCGCCGCATACACGGGACGGGCCCTTTCTCCCTATGTTAACCGACTTCCATCAGAGCAATATTTTTGTCGATGATAATTGGGAGGTAACTGCGCTTATTGACATGGAATGGATGTGTACGCTGCCGGTGGAAATGCTGTCGGTACCATACTGGCTCACCAACTGCAGCATCGACGATATCACCGACGACAATTACGGCGTCTTTGAAGAGACGCGGCGGACGTTTCTGGCAATTATGGACGAGGAAAGTAAAAGTATACCAATGGAGCACGGTCTTGAGCTAACGCGCACCATGAGACGTGGTTGGGACTCCAAGGGAGTGTGGTTTTGGTCGTGCCTAAAATCCGTAAATGCCTGGCTTTTCCTATTTGAGGACCATATTGCTCCACGCTTCTCCGCCGAAAGAGGATTTATTACCGAGCTAAAGAAGGTTTCTATGTTTTGGCGAGACGAGGTTGACCAGGTTGTCAAGACCAAGGTTGATGAGGAAGAGCAGTTCCAGGCAGAGCTCCGAGAGCTTTTTGATAAGGAAGGACGTGAAAACGAGTGACTATATTCATCCGTGCTGTATATATCTCATCTCTGCCTTATGAAATGACTGGTCAGGAGGCCTCCCAATTTTGACTCTTGCCGAGCTCATTTCTTTCCTTGCCATCCTTGCCCTGGCCGTGCTCAATCTTCCCTTCCTTGCCGTCCTTCCCTAATCGTATTCATTGTTTTCCTGCCTTCCTTGCCCTCGTCGTCCTCACTTCTTCTCTTCCTTGCCTTCCTTGCCGAGATGACCTTTGCGTCGAGCTTTTTATGCAGTTTCCCCAGAACTGAGGGCCATGGCCAGATTTTTCGCCTTCCCCTTTACTCCGATCTGGGCAGTTTGGAAAGTGGCGTCGGTTCCCTCGGAGGCTTTGCCTCCGGATGCGCTGGACTGGCCTTGCCCTCGGCTTCCGCCACTGTCGGCCATGTTGGAGATGAGGCGAGATGTCGACTGAGTGTCGATGAAGGAGTTCTATTCAATGAAGAAGAAGATTTTGTTTTTAACAGAGAGCGCTTGCTGGAACTGATGCCGGGCTCGGCGCTTTATATAGATATTTCGATACGCGCTGTTAGGGCCGCCGCACACTGTATGTGAGGCTCGTATGTGACGGCCTTTGGACGCCTCGTGATCTGTTCTGCCTGATGGGCCGCATATAAGGCCAACGTAAATTTGTGACAACACCCCGTGAATGCACGGGAGACCACGATGGAGGGTCGTCTGCCTACGGGCCTCCTCAACGGGCCACCGCCGGCCTGCCGATGGGATGCCTTGTCGACGGGTATACGCGGGCGAATGATTAAAGTGAGTCACGCGTCGGCCGTTGGTCGTTGAAAACCAACGACAGCCTACACGGCCTGCGTGGGATTCTGGCGCCTCACGGCCGAGCAAGACTGGTGTGTTGCATTTAGACTGCCGTCAATCAATAATATATTAAGATATCTTCACGTTCACCAAACGCCTTCCGCAGCTAATTACATCATCACGTCTTTTCGGCCAACTTTTCGAAACCAAGCCTAAAATACGAAAAAGGCATACGCCTAGAACCCTCGCGAATAGCGTATTACGCCCCCCTAAGTGCAGCCTCGCGCAGCTACTAGCGGGTGCGTAATATGCTGCCAAAGTTCACGACTTAGGCTAGGTTTTCCCCTATACGGGTAGAAAACTCTTCCCCGCCCTCGCTGACTAAGGATATACAACCCCCGCCAACGGAACCTAGCCCGGACCCGACCTAGGACCCCGGCCTAGGCCTAAGGCGGGCCCCGTCGACCCCCCCCCCCTTTAACCTAGGGGACGAAATAAGCACCCTAGAGGCTAGGGCCCGCTTAGGGGAAGCTTTAAGAGGCCAACGCCCTTTAAAGACCCTAGAAAAGAGGCCCGAAGCCCGATATTAAGACTAAGAAGATATTAAGATAAAAGATAACGAAATAATAGTAGGGTATACCTAGACTATTAGCCTAACCTAGCCTAGCGGGCCTAAAGCTAGCCTCTTTAGGCCTAGCCTAGCCCTACCTTAAGCTAGCTACTTCTAGCTAAATAAGCCTTTAAAGTAAGCTAAGGGGTAAAAGAGGGCTGCTCTTAGTTTAGAACTTAATAAAGAAAAATAAGTCCCTTTTAAACCTTTTAGTATAGCTAATACTTATAGATATCGATATATTATAGCTAGGTCGATAGCTTTATATTTTCTATATAAATTCGTATAGTTTATATATTATTATATTCTATAGCTAATAGGGACGGAATTTATAGTTATAAAGATATAAGTAGCTAGCTAAGGAAAATAGCTTCTTTTAAAGCTTTTAAAAGGGCTAGTAGCTCTACCTATATACTTAAAGTTATAACGGTAGCTTACTTTAAAGCTCTCTAAGTAATAGATCCTCTAAGAAGGGATATAATATACCCTTATAAGCTCTTTCTATCTAAGGAATTATCTATAAAGGATAAATCGCTTAAATAAAAGAAGATTTTAATAGCTAATTTCTTCCTTCCTTACCCTTATAGGCGTAGACTATATATTCTTATTAAATAAAGATAAAGGATAGCTTTATCTACTACTTTATAATGCCTAGGGCTAGGATTCTAGTAATACCTACCTAGCTAGGAGACTATAAAAGAGATATCCGGTTTAGTAGAAATAGCTAAAAAAGTAAGGAGCGTACCTTCTATTAATATAGGTGTTTCTCTTACTCCCTAGCTTAAAAGAACGGATTATATAGAAGCTCTTAGTTTAATATAGGTATAGAGGGAAGCTTCTCTTTAAGTAGACTTTTAAGGAGGAATTTATAAGCTACCTTATTAATATAGGCGTCCTAGGTAAGCTAGATAGTTTATTAGGACCTATTATAAAGGATTTAAATCCCTAGGAACTACTTTAGCTCCCTTAGCTAGGTTATCTTATACCTTTACTATAAGCCTTTTATTATCACGAAAAAAAGCTATAGCCGCCTATCTATTATAAGCGATAGCGTTAATTAACGTATATAGTATACCTAATATACCCCCTTAGGGATACTAGGTTAATTCGTCTTAGGATACCTAGATATCCTAGACTATAGAGGGAATTTTTATATAGGTAGGCCTTATATTAATACCGCGTAAGTACTTTAGCGGGACTTAAACCTCGGGCTTTATAGGTAGTACGCGCTAGGCTAGCTAGAAGGTGTATATATAGTTACCGGGAATTTACTAAAAGGGTAACCCCTCTACCTAAGCTTATAACTATTATAAAAAAAAGGTAAAGCCGCCTATCTATTATAAGCGACAGCGTTAATTAATATATATAGTATACGCGATATTTATAGCCTCCTTAGTAGTTACTTCTTCCTCTTTTAAGTAGGCCTAGATAATATCATTAATATAGAAAAAGATAGTAATTTCACCCTTTTATATTATATATAGTTCTTAAGGGACTTTCTTAAAGCCTAGGGCTTTAAGGGTATTATAGAGTAGGTAGAGGCATAAGCTTAGGTATAGTCTATTAAAATAAGGTTAATAATCTATAAAGGGGAAAAGTAAAATAAGTACGGGCTTAGCTTATATAAGCGAGGAGGCCGCTTATATATAGATTTAGCTTAGACCTTAGTCTAGGCCTATATAGGGTAAAAGCCCTTATACTATACCCTTACCTAGCTTTTAAAGAGGCGCGACTTTAAATAATACTTAATACCGCGCTTAAAAGGACGAAACCTTTATATAGACTATATACGCTTAGTTATAGAAAAAACGTTAGTAAATAATATATAATACCCTCCTAAGCAAGCTTCTTAGATAAACTATATTATTAATAAGGGCTATACCTTGAAAGTTAGACTTTAGTACTTATAATTAAAGAGTAAAGGTATATAAAATAGCGTATAGCTAGCTTTAGTAAGCTTATAATATCCTACCCTCTTTATATTAGTATATAGTAGTAGCTCCTAATACTCTTTTTTTATATTATTACTTATATATAGCCTTTAAGGCTATAGCGAGGCTAGTAAGGGCCTAGGCCTTTATTAGTAGTCCTAGCTAGCTATAGAGTATAGGGGCTTATAATTAATTAAGGAAAAGGTAGCTATAAAGGTAATAATAAAAGAAAGGTTAGTTTAGTTCCTTTAGCGCGGTAATTTCCCCCCTTAAGGGCCCTAAGGCCCCTAGGTTACTCCTTTTTAAGCTACTTAGCTATCCCTATCTCTATTTTAGCTAAGAAGGTTAAAAGGGCTTCCCTTCCTTCCTTAGAGCTATAGAGAATAAGTAGGCTAAGGGCCCCCTTTTATCTCTTAGAGGTCTAGTAAGGGACCTCTCTTTCCCTCCTATAATTCGGGCACCTTAGGATAAGGTGCCTAGCTATATACCTTCCTTAGCCGTAGTAGTAGTTATCTCGGTCTACCTTATTAGTCTATTTTAAGAAGGAAAATAAGAAGCCGGCCTTAAAAAGGAGCTAGTAAAAGGCTAAGAAGGTCGGCCTAGGCCTCCCTATAAGGTCCTTTTCCTAGCTAAGGGCTAGGCAGGGGGTCTTTTAAATAAATATATAGTACTTACCTAGGCCCTTAGCCCTAAGGCCTTTAGCTACCTCGGTAGCTTAAAGTCCCTTTTAATAGTCCTTAGTAGCTTACTAAACCTTTTTTTATAAGTAGCTAATAGAGATTAAGGGGGTCCCTTAAGTAGGGGCCCTTAAGCCTCTTTTAGCTAGCTAGTTAGCTAGCTTATTACTAAAGATCCCTACGTAGCTAGGGCACTAGTATAGCTATACGCTATAAAAGGCTTCTAAGCTAAATAGGAGCCTTTTAATATATATAGCTAGGTCTAATAAACCTATAACCTTCCTTATAGCGGCTTAGCTATTTATAAAGATATAGATATCTATAAAGGGGTTAAGGGGGCTAAGCCTTAAGGGCCGAGGCCTCTTAGCTAGGTCCTTTAAGACCCTTAGTATCGCGAATAGCTCTACGTTAGCTACTTTAATTAAGGGCCCTAAGTTCTTATAGTACGCTTTAATAGGTATATTTTCTAAGCTTATTTTATAGAAGGAGTAAGCGTTAGTTTTTATAAGGGACCTATTAAAGCACCCTTTAAAGCTAGTAGTATAGAAAGCTAAGGGCTATAACCTAAAGTCTTCTAGGCTAGCTAGGCTAGCTAAGAAGTATTAGTACTACTTCTTACCTAAGGGCTTAAGGGCCTTTATTATTATAATAAAAGACTTAGGCTCTAAGGCCTATAAGGGCTCCTAGCTAGCTTTCCTTCTTTCTAAGTTATAATTAGGTCCTATAAGAGCTACTAAGCCTTTAAGGAGGCGGAAGAGCTATATATATAGCCTAATATAGCTTAAGGCCCTTAAGTTAAAGCTTAAGTTAGTAAGGTTATCTTATATAGCTAGGTTATAAGCCTACCTTATAAAGTAACTAGGTAAGAAGTATAGGGTCTAAAAGGTATAAGAGAGGCATGCCCTTTTAAATTATACCTTTAGTAGTAGTAGGGCTACTTTAGCTTTTAAAGCCTTAATAAGGGATCCTTTAAAGGCTCTTAAGACCTTTAAAAGAGCT